ATATATATATATATATATATATATATATATATATATATTGAAGACATTTGAATATTTCTTCAATTTGAGGGCATCATATGCATCTTTCAACGAAGATAGGTAAGAATTGGTCTGTGATGGAAGAAAGGCTCATGACCATAAATTAATGTTTTAACTTTCCAAAGACCCATTCAATAACAGTGCTCCATACTGTTCAAAATGCCGACTTAGACCATCATCAACCAGAGCTCTATATAAAGCCTTCACAGCTCCATGAACTAAGAGAGTTCGGGGCTTCGCTCGTTTGTTGCCTTAATACTGTCTGCTTAGCTTAAAACCACAATGAAGCCCCTATTCCTTGTCCCCTTCCTTTCTTTGATAGTTTCTCAGGCCTTTGCATCCGATCCTAGTCCCTTGCAGGACTTTTGTGTTGCAGACAATAACAGCCAAGGTAAGCATCTGATGATGCTGATTTATGAAGTTAAACTTCATATAAATGCAATAGTCAATCCGAAGATTAGTGTTTTACACTTTGAACTAGAGTTTAAAAAGTCGGAGTTGGGGTCTGAGTCGCTGGGTTCCCCAGCCTGAATCCCCAAGGTCGGACTTGGGCAAGTTGGAGTGGGATAGGGCAATTTCTAACATGAAAAATTTAAAAAGCTTGAAAAGATGGGCAGATTGGAGCATTTCGGGTTTTTCCGGCATAGAATCGCCTAGCTCCTGACAAAGGGCTGATTAGGGTGAGTCCGGACTTGGCCCCATGATTTTTTAACAATGCTTTGAAATGGACATGAATGCTAATCTCTACTCTTCTTCTCCGTGCTCTTTCATGCAGTGCTTGTCAATGGAAAAGCTTGCAAGGATCCAAAGTTGGCTACTGCAAAGGACTTTTCTTTCCTGGCCTCGACAAGCCTGGCAACACAAGCAACCCTCTGGGTTCGAAGGTCACCCCGGTGTTTGTAATGCAACTTTCAGGGCTCAACACTCTGGGCGTCTCCATTGCGCGTATCGACTTTGCTCCCGGGGGCCAAAACCCTCCCAACACGCACCCACGTGCCGCTGAGATCCTCACTGTCTTGGAAGGGACTCTATACGTTGGCTTTGTGACCAGCAACCCCGACAACCGTTTGATTAGCAGGACGCTGAAAAAGGGAGATGTCTTAGCGATCCCGCAAGGCTTCATTCACTTCCAGCAAAATGTGGGTTATGGCAATGCTGTGGCTCCAGCAACTTTCGGCAGCCAGATTCCAGGGGTGATAACCATAGCTAATGCTATGTTTGGAGCCAACCCACCTATCTCTGATGCTGTTCATGCAAAGGCCTTCCAAATAGATAAAAAACTGGTGGATAAACTCCAATCTAGCTTCTGGATGATAATAAACAACTTTTAGGTCAATGATCCCTCATTACTACATATTAGAGATTGATTGCATATGGAATAAAGTGATCCTTAATGAGTGGCTTTCATTTGTATTTTCTTTGTGATATTTGATTTGTTATGTACTATGCTTTGTTACTAGATAATAAAAGTAGTTTATAGATTAAGTTATGATATAAAAAGTTCCTTTATCATTTTTGCTTTATTTGTTTTTTCTTTCATTCTTTATGGACTGCAGAATCAAGTACATTATGGTTGGAGCTTGTTTGGACATCATTTAGTTTTTAATAACCTAACCACATATTGTTGAATATGTTTGTCAACAAACATTCACAAACGAAGTCTGAGACGACAAATTGATATTTTCTTCAATTATAGCAAGTTAAAAGTTTACATGCTCTAACAATGGGCTCAAGACTAGGCAGTCGGGATTGTGGGGAGCCAAAATATGACGTTTTGAGTTCCATTCTTAACAAGAATAGAGAATCTCGTCCCTAATGAATAATATAAAAAGTTTATATACTCTTATTGGAGCATATCATCCATTCACTACCTCCGGTAAAACCAAGTTTATGAGTATTCTCAAGAAATCAATTTTTCAATAAAACCCTGTTTATGAGTGTTTTCAAGAAATCAAATTTGGGAATGTAACATAGCAATCAACCTCTCTCTTAAAAGAAAAATCGATATGCAATGGATGTACGCCTATTAAACAATAAAGTTTTAAGATTGAATGGAGACCACCCAATTTTAGAATGGTTTAAATCTAAGCATTTGAAAGCTCAACATCAATATATTCTTTCTTGCAAAATACTCATCTCTTGATTCAAGTTTGGATCTCAAAATTTTAGAACGAAAAAGTATTCATCAGTAGTTTTTTTACGCGAGGAGTGACAGTAAATTGTGGTTGTCCACAATATTTGTCCACTGGATAGCGGAATCCTAACACCCATCTTAAGGAATGCTCATGTCCAAGTATAAGAATTTGAGGGGATTTTATTAATAAGGTGAATTTAGGGGATATGAGCCTGTTTGTTTTATGGTAAACATTATTTTAGAATTATTATTTGAATTTTTATGAACGTCTGGATATTCTATTTATGAAATTTGGATTGTAAAAGGAAATATATTAATTTTATAATATTTTAAATATTCAAATAAATATTCTAAAATATTTTTATTATTTTTAAAATATAAAATAAATTTTCATGGGAGCCTATTGTGCACATGGGACCACCATGTTCTTGAAGGTGGGGCCCATCTTGAAAGAGTTTTTATGGGAAATATGAGTAGGCTTGTATTATTTTATGGAATATACAATATTTGATTGAAATTAATTTGACTTAATTTCTATTGATGGGAAAATGGTTTAGGAAAGGGGGACAACCTTCCGGTGTACTAAATGTCAGTGATCCAAATTCCAGCTTCGGTAGGGAAAAGAATTGAGAAGGTGATAAGATATTTTTTTGTGGGGTTCGTATGGAGAGAATATGTAATTCCATTTGTTAAAATGCGATCGAGTTTGTACCCCCAAGCGCGAAGGTGGACTGGGTATTCAGAATATTAGAATGTTTAACAAAGCTCTTTTGTGTAAATGGTGGTGGTATAGTAAACACTTGACAGATCATCTTTGGTATCAAGTTTTGGTTTCTAAATATGGAATGGACTTTTATGATTTATGGCCTAGTGGTGGTAGAGGTAAGGATACGTCTTATATGGGGCGGGTTATTTATAACTGTAGTCCCATGATTTCTGGTTACTTTAGGTGGAATGTTGGAAGTGGTTAGCAGATTTTGTTTTGGCATTACAAATGCTTTGGGGATTATCCCCTTAAATATGCTTTCCCTGACCTTTTCCGTACAACCCAAATCTTTTGATTTGTAAAAGTGGAAAGAAGTAGCTAGCAATATTATTGGAATATATCTCTCAGCTATAGGCGTTTAAATAATTTGATGTTGTCCTAATGGTGTTCGCTAATGGAACTCTTAGACAAAGTTTATATTTCACAAGACGCAGAAGATATGGTAGTGTGGGAATTTCTCAGTAAAATCTTGCTATAATTTGTTTTTCCATGATCGGTGGAGATGGTCTTGCCCTAATATTACCAAAATTTGGAAATGGCCAATACCCCATAAAGTTCAAGTATTTGTTAGGTTAGCTGTACATGACAAAATCTTGACAATTGATAATCTTCAGAAAAGGGGTAAGATTTTGTCAAATATTTGTTTGCTATGTAAACAAGACGAGAATCAATATCTCATCTTTTGATCCATTGCTCTTATACATCAAGAATTTGGCATTGGTTGATGGAATTGGTAGGAGTTTCCTTAGTGTTGCCTCATAGTTTGCTTGATTTTGTTTCTCAATTCACGCTCCCCTTTTTGCCTAAAGTTAGTGGTGTAATATAAAAAATTGTAAAACGAGTGATCCTTTGCGAAGTTTGGAAGGAGAGAAACATGAGAACGTTTGAGGGGTCCATCTTGCCATTTGACAAGTTAATCCATTTAATCAAACTTTCTATAGGGTCAAGTCTCTCCGTGTCCAATGAGGGATGGGGGATCTCAAAAGTTGATGTTATGGTCAATCTCTCTAATCTGTTTTCTCTTAGTGTGAGTAGATGCCGGTCTAAGGGATTGTGGTTTGCTCCGTCAATGGGTTATCTGAAGCTAAATTTTGATGGGAGTTTTTTTGGAATATGGGCTCAGCTGGTATTGGTGGTGTTATTTGTGATTGTTTTGGGAATATTGTTTTATCCTATGCGGGACCAATTGGTATTGCTACAACTAATTTTGCATAATTAAGTGCCTTGCTTAGGGGTGTGAATATTTTCAATGAAAGGAATTTGGGGACCAGCTGTTTAATTGAAAGAGATTCTCTGAATGCTATCAGGTGGTGCAGGAAGGAGCAAAAGATATAGTGGGAACTTCGATCTTTATAGCTGCAGGTTATGGATGCTATTACGTCTATAACTGTATCTTTTTCCTATGTCTATCGTGAAGCCAATGATGTTGCTGATGCATTAGCTAAGGGTGGGGTTTCTCTTGGTTCTTTTACTATTTCTGACGATGTAATTTCCTTTTAAGTTATCAATAAAATTTTTGAATGTTGGCAAAAAAAAAAAGGGTTCATGCACCTTCCATAATATTGATGGCCCATCTATGTAATGAATGATTTAGATCTCTCACCCCACAAGTTACCCTTGATCGACAGTCCCTATTCAACTCACTTAAGATGCAACTATGAGAAACCCTAAGAAATCCTAAACCTAATTTTGCACTATAAATAGGGGTGTACCCCCTATTCTCTACACCTTCTCTCTTCTCTCTCCCAACTTTCTCTCTCTCCTTCTTTTAAGGAGCACGCCCCACTCTATCTCCTCTTCTTCTTTCTAGATTTTCTCTCTCTTAGCAGTAGAAGGGGCAGGCCCCAACCCTAGGGTCTCCCCCACTCTCTCTCATCTTATATGCTAAGGGTTAGAAAGTATGGCAAAATATTTTGGGGTTAGGATCTAGATTTGATGAGTTACACAGGGTTATTTGAAATAGTTTGGCCAAAATTTACTTTCTCGGTTCAAGATTGAAGTTAGACCGTTGATCTCATACCATTGAATGGTGGTGACTAAGTGTGAGGTGTAACAAGCCTGGTTGAGGTAATCTCCAGCACTTTTCGTTTTATTTCTTGCAATCTTATCTTTTATTCTCAAGCATAGTACATAGTTGTTTCAATGACATTAAGTTTTAAGATCTTAGTTTTATTGTTATGTTGATTTTATTTTGAAGTTTATGTTATTGTAATAAGACCACCTGTAAGTTTTCTTTTGCCAAAACGAAAGGGGTGAAATAAAAAATAAAATAAAATAAATATATATATATATATATATATATATATATATATAAAATTCCCAGTAAAAGATCACATAGGTCTTTTTTTCAGTAATCATATGGTGATTTTAGGTGGATCTCAAAATTTCAAGAAAAAAAATAAATCCTATGCAGCGATTTCTCCCAAGGGAATAAGCACATAGCATGGTTGGACTTACGAACATTCTTTATTTCTTACAAGGACCAAGTTAT